GTGTGTGTGTGTGTGTGTGGTCCAGACGTTGTAATAGAAATATTGTTATTGTAACAGATCAACTGTGAAATAAAGTTATTTTAGCAGTCACGTCTGATTTAATTCATATCAATCTGATGACTTCCCTTCTGCCACAGCGAGCTCATTTTATTGCATTCCGGTTTTGTTTATTCTTCCCAATTGACATGGATGCCAGTGACTCTGGGCAGTGAATCATATTAATTTGCAACTGAGATGTAAATTCATCCCAAGTGTAGAGCGTAGGTGGCCTCGTGCTGCAGGGTGTCGGGTCAGGAGGGTGAGCGGGGTTAAGTGGAGCTGAAACTAAAACCATAACCGAGTAGAAACACACGTATGTCTATCACACCTATGTTTTACTGACGTACATTCGACCGCCGCTCAGATACAGATCGGGTAAAACGGAAATAAAGAGACAGCAAGAGATCCGAAGAGGTCATCCGAGAGGTAAACAGAGATCACTCAGGTTGAAGTCTGCAGATTCTGTTGCAGTGAAGTGAAATGTCACCTGGTGACGGATTTCTAAGGTTCGGCTCTGGAGGCCGACAGGCTGCTTCGATTTGATGTCTGGCGTGCGTGCTGCGTATTCCTCCTCTCACGTGTACGTGCCTTGAGATGGGGATCTGATGGTGGATGATGTTTGAGTGACGGACACTGAGCCTGATGGTCCGTGACGATCAGTCCGTCCCTGGAGAAGACATGCGGATTTGGCACACATCACAGCAGCAGGAACACGGACTCTGAACACACACCATTAATCATCACAACAAAGGAGAAGGGTTGTTCTGTGCAGTGTTTTTTAGTGAGTTTGCACTATCTTCTCCTGGCTTCGACTGGACAGATTTACACCCTCCGTCTCTGCCAACAAACATCTTATGTCACATTCAGGCCCAACGTCCACACTCACAGACTTTATGGCACGTTCCAGGGAAAGTCCATCAGGTTTAGATGTTTTGAGCCCTTTTTATGCACAGGCTTTCCATAACTCCGCATTTCTGCAGATTTTGCCTCAGGGAATTACCCATAATTCATAGCCTTGTGACGGTAAAACACGGAGCTACCAGGGGGAAGCCAAAGGCTAAAAAAAAAAAAGGTAAACAAAGAGGAGAGCACATGTCCTCAGCCCTGCATCCAAAATTTGCACAGAATACATTAACATTAAAGATTTGAAATGGTCCATAAAAACACCATCATCAACCCTTTCTTTTAATTTAGCTTATTGAAGCTGTTTTTGACAAAAACTAGCTCACTTGTATTTATACCATTTCAAACCTTTGCAGCCATTTACCAGGTTGATTTAATGCTTTAGGCTTTACTCGGCCTGAAGCTGATGCCATCCACACAGCTTTTCCCCTCCTATCCTGCAGGGGTCAGCCTCGTATCAGAGGGTGGATTGGAGGTTTGTTTTCTTCTGTCACTCTTCTGCTCCATTTGCCGCCACCACTCATGTCACATCACAATGGGGCCTTTGCCAGCAGATTCCTTCATCATCATCATCTCACGGTGTCAGCGGTGGACTGCCGTAGTCCAAAAGACACCAACGCACCCTAATACTCCTTTTCCAACAAACGGCTTGAGTGACTGCCCGTGTGACAGCCACTCATCCGCAGCCTCATCAAAGCCCGGGGCCGAGCTCGGGCCTGGTGACGGGGGCACGAGGCCGGGCACGAGTCAGAGGGAGTGAGTGGCGTCCTGTTACTGGAGCTGTCTGTCATGAGCGAGACAGCGCCGGGCCCAGGGCATGTACAGTGTGTTGACTATTGCGTCTCACGTTTTCTCACACAGATAAACACACACAGTTCTCCATTTTTAAGCTCAGTCTACAATTATGGACTTTATCGCACAGTCAAATATGATAAAAAAAGAAAAACATCCCTGAGGCAAGGCTGTTTTTAACTCGTGTTCGGAGCTAATTTACTTATGAAACCGTGGAAGAAAACAACCCTGCCGTGTTTCTTCTTGTTTGTGTGTGTGTGTGTGTTCGTGGTGGGAGGATTAGTGATGGAGATAAAGAAAATATTTATTCGGGGTGAATTTGTTTGTGAGTGTCAGACTAGTCGGGCTGTCATTGCGTGAGCACACCAACTCCACTGAAGTGCACATCAGTTCTGCTGTTACAGCAGAACCAAAACCCATCAGCGCCTGGTGCTATTCCATATTTTTTTACTCTCTGCCAACAAATCTCATTGAAAAACAAAACCAACCACAATTTGATCCAACAAAGAAAATGTCGCTATAGCACATTTCCCACTGGACAAAAAAGAACCCCACTTAAACCTGGCTTTTGTCTGTCATGGGGAAAGGTTACCATCAGCATTTATTCCCGAGACAAATGACTCGATGAGCGGCAGTGATGGAAATGTGACGCACTAATTTCCCCTTTTCCTGCGCTTTCTTTGTCATCTCAGCCACAAATTCTGTCCAAGCAGCACCCGAACATCGCAACAAATTAGTCGGCAACGAGTTCGAAAGAGAGACTGAATAAGCAATAGTCTGATTTGAAAAAAAAGAAGTAGCCACTGTAACATTTTCACTGTTCACGAACTCTGATTCTTGAATGCGACAAGCCAAGAAAAAGGAAAAAAAAACAGAAAGACATACAAAGGAGTCTATCGCCTATTTCTAGCGGGTCATTATTAGGCGGTCAGAGCAGCTGACGTAGTCTAAAGAGCGAGATGGTCCATACAGGGCGGGTGGGAGTGGACCTGGATGGGTCAGACATACACAAAACAATCATCCAGGAGGCCGCTGTTCGAGTCCCGTGTGAAACTAAACATGAACGTTGACATTTTATCACATGAGTCGTTAGTCAGTCAGGTTAACGTCAACCATGCTCTCCTCCTAAACCTGACTAAGTGGTTTTGTTGCCTAAACCACGATGCTGGGAGGGAAGGGAGGCACGTGGAGATCAAGAACCAGGACTGAGTGTGGCAGACTGTCAGACCACCGCTGCAGTAAATGAGAGGTTTTGTAAAAGGACTCTGGCAGCTGCAGCTCTTCATGACACAAAGTGGTGGTGTCCATGGAAGCACGACAGCTTTTGTCCACAGGGGCCGCCAGAATCAACACAAAATAAAAGTTCATGTAGTAACTTTAAAGAGGAATGTCTTCAGTTCAGCGGGAATAATTTGGCTTAAAGCTGAGAGCGACAGTGGGGAAGGAACGTCGGAAGGTAGACGAAGTGAAGAGATGTGCTAACACATTTTATAACATTGTATAATAACAATATAAATAATTATCCTTTAAGATGTGTTCATGTAATGTGGAGCATGTTAAGTAAATTATCCATGCACAGCACTTAAACTAAGCTATATTCTGTATTCAACCAACTCTATTCTTTACTGAGGAATTATAGGCCACAAATAAAATAAAATGTACAATTCACACACTGTGTTTTTATGTTTCATCTTCTCAGAGCACACACACACACACACACACACACACACACACACACACACACACCATCCAGTATAAAGGCAGTCAGGGTGACTGATGGAGGATCGTACTCTTGGTTTAGTTACATTAGAATGATGGAGTTGGTTATTGCAGGAGAAATAAAAGAGCCTCGGACTCAGTGGATAGATAGTGGAGCAGGATAGGAGAAGAGTTACGGGCGTACTGAGCCACAGTGAGAAAGAGCTACACGTGGAGGAAGAGAAAGGGGCAGAGGAAAAAGTTGAACCTGTCATTGTTTAGTCCAGGGACGCCTCCAAAACAGAAGCTAAAATATGTGAGGTGATGGTTGTGAAGTGACGGTGAGTGACACCTCTGATGGGGAGGTCGAGGATCAGACCGGCTGTCTGGCAGTTGACAGCCGACACTGCGTGCACCCTTATTAAAAAGTAAAGATGAGGCCCACACGTGCACACACACACACACACACACACACACACACACACACACACACACAC